AAGACTGCGTTCAAAATAAACATTACTGAATGCATCACCGAATGCGACGCTTACATAAATCTTTCATGCTTTTATTGATACGCAGTAGTAGAACATAATGCACCTACCTTAGCTTTCTGTTTCATCGTGGCCATTTTATTGGATAAATCAGTGATCGTATACGACTAACCTCGTTTTCAGAGGTGGCGTATCTGTCATGCTATAACACCGTGACTGAGCTATATCTAACTACGAGAAATAGAATTTTGGCTGTAATTCCAATTAGTCAAGGACGAGCAATAGGCCCTCCTTTATTGATTATATTCACTTAACGTTTTCATCTTGAATTATAAAATTCCCTAAGTTTTCGAAAATAAAGAAGCCTTGTGGAAAACCAATAATGTGCAAAATAGCTCCACCGGGGCTCGATCCCGGGACCTTTCGCGTGTTAAGCGAACGTGATAACCACTACACTATGGAGCGATGTCTGACATACAGCTCAAAACAATGAATAGCCTAATGAAGAAGTAATTATAAATAAATGTTTTTTCTAACGGTTCAGTGAGGAGAACAGGTTTGAAAGTATTTTAGACGTTTTTTTTATTTTGATATATAGTAATAGTAGGTTTGAAACTGAGTTAGAATTTGTTTATCAATGACGTATTATTTAGCTGGGCTATAATTGGTTCTGGTTTCAAGCCAACATGTTTTTGATCATGACCTTTATATCCTTATAACGGACCGATACAGTTCACTAAATGTGACGTATTTGATATTCATTTTAACTTTTCGTATTAAAGTTGGACTCAATTCAACACCATGTCCATGGATAACAACAGCACAACTTATACATGTAGCAGGCCCGTAGCCAGGGGGGGGGGGTCGCAGGGTTCGGGCGAACCGCCCCCCCCCCTGGCCAAAAATTCTTTCAAAATCATGAAGTTTTTTACCATTTTGAGCACTTGTCTAGTGATTTTAGCCTAATTTGGGCCAAAATTGTCAAATGTGAACCCCCCCCTGGAAATTTTTGAAAATTGAACCCCCCCCCCCTTGGCAAATCCTGGCTACGGGCCTGTGTAGAGCCAAATTTGAAAATTTATAACGGCGTTCTTAAACGGTGATAGCATGCCTTCGGGAATCTAGTGGTGGTGGTGGTGGTTGTTGTTGTTGTTGTTGTTGTTTATCCGAAGCTGTATACACCAACATTATTGTTCTTCAATAAATTTTCAATAAATTTCCTCAAATAAGCTAATACATTCATCCAGGTTGTCACATCAATGGCTTATAATCATCTATGGTTACTTCAACAGGCAAAGTGAAGTCAAAAATCAATGGTCAATCAAACATCCCATGTACACTGTAGCAAATCGACTAAGTTCTTTAGATAGCAGAAAACGTCTAAGTTTGGTAGTTCCTCAAAACAACAAAGTCTTGTAATTAGCAAAACGACTAAGTTTTGTAGTTAGCAAAATGACTAAGTTTTGCAGTTCCAATATTTCCTCAAATAAGCCAATACATTCATCCAGGTTGTCACATCAATGGCTTATAATCATCTATGGTTACTTCATCAGGCTAAGTGAAGTCAATAGTCAATGGTCAGTCATTCCATGCAGCAAAACTTAGATTTTACGGGAGTTATACCAGAAAACGGGAGATTTTCCGGGAGTTATACCAAGAATGCGGGAGATTTTACGGGAGTTATACCAGAATACGGGAGATTTTAGCAAAAATACGGGAGATTTTACGGCCATATTTTTAAAAAGTGTTACGGGAGATTTAAGTAGAAATACGGTACGGGAGTTTACGGGAGTTTTTACGGGAGAAAACGGTACTGGAGTTTGGTATTTTTACGGAAAAACAAAAAATTTACGGGAGATTCCCGTAAAAAACGGAAGGTTGGCAAGTCTGCTTTACTTTATATAGAAATGCAAGATACTTTTTTGAGAGAGAGTGGTCTGAAATATGCTCTAATAAGTTGTTTAATATTGATTGAATATCAGTTGAACTGGAGTTTAATCCAAGCATTCAGATTATTGCAAATTAATCCATGTAATCTAATCACAGGCTGGTATCGAAAGATTTGTCCGCTGTGACGGAGCATGCTATTTTTCATAAAAACACTAAGAATGCTTCACGATTTATTTTTTAACTCATATGTTTTGTTATTTCAAAGATAATTACTTACTCCATGCAATGGATATATCATTTGCGTGTAACCTTCACTACTGTTTGAAGTCCAATAACGCTAGGAGTAAAATCTATTGAAAACGGCGCCAGAGTATCAAATTCTAAAATGAACCATTTCTTTTTTAACTTTTTAATGGCATGATATAGTGACACGATAACATTAACATATATTTTCAGCATATCTCTGAATGTATTAATGAGATATTAATGCATTGGGTCTTTTTAATTCTTTTGTAAAAAAATAATATTAATATTTTTTGTCCGCTGTGACGGAGCATTTTCACAGTTCACATTTGCAACTGCTCCGTCACAGCGGACAAAAAAATTAAACATTATTTTTTATAAAAGAATTAAAAAGACCAAATACATCAACATCTCATTTATACCTTCATAGTTATGCTGAAACCATGTGTAAATATTATCGTGTCACTATATCGTGCCATTAGAAAGTTAAACAAGAAATGGTACATTTTGAAGGATGATACTCCGGCGCCATTTTCAATAGCTTTTCTTCCCAGCGCAATTGGACTTCAAACAGAAGTGAAAGTTACCCGCAAATGATATATCCATTGCATGGAGTAAGTAATTTTGTATGGTATAACGAAAGACATGAGTTAAAAAATAAATCGTGAAGTATTCTTAGTGTTTTTATGAAAAATAGCATGCTCCGTCACAGCGGACAAATATTTCGATACCAGCCTGTGCTAATATCATGTCAAACAAAAGGTTGATGTCAATGGTTAATGTCAAAATCTAATGAGAATGTCGAATTGAGAAGTGCTTGATTGAATTGGATGATCAGATATCTCACTTAGAATCCATATTCATGCTTCAGAAAATTAATCTTTGGAAAGGTGTTTACTGAAAGAGTACTGTTACTATCACGCCGGTGATCGTACAAAATGGTTGGAGGGGGGGGTAGTCGATTTCTGCAAGAAAACTCAACTTATTTGGAAGATCTATATTTTCAAGAGAAAATTTACAACTGAATTGCCAAATGAATAGGCGCAGTGCATGGCAAAATATGTTAGGTCTTCTAGTATTTTTTTTAAACTGATACCCTTCTAAGATATGAGATCTATTAAAAAAGGCGCATCATCACCAACGTGCAAAAGTCAATGTTTTTGCTCTAAATCAGGCAAAAATGATCTACACGACCTGTAATGAATAGGTACCTAAAACATATTTTGCAATGCACTGCGCCTATTCATTTGGCAATTCAGTTGTAAATTTACTCTTGAAAAAATAAAACTCCCAAATTTGTTGAGTTTTCTTGCAGAAATCACCTACTCCCCCTCCATCCTTTTTGATGCCTGTCAAGTCTGGATTTAATAGGGAGCAATCCCTATTTTTGATGCTTAGTTCACACCAAAGGCGCTTTGATGGCGCTTTAAAGCACAGTGTTTGCTGAATTAGCAAATTCCATCATAGTGCAAGATCAACTCAAATGATGATTTTGCTTTTTAGTTACAATACAAAAAAGATTTGACAATTGAATGGTATAATTTATCATGTAACGAAATATATGTTTTCATTGAATGTTGAGTTGCTGTTTATCTCAAATAAAAACATTTTGAAGGCTCTTTTTCAAGGAAAATATTATATGCTATCTTGTCATTTTTACCGAAATACAAACATTTTACGGAAGATTCTAGTAAAAACGACATAGCCCAGTGAGTTGTTGAATGTGGCTAAATTGTAATACATTCTTACTTCTCCCTTGACATAACCTTAACGTAAAAAGAAAATGAGGTAATAAATAATCGAATGAACCCTACCTTCCAATCGTAGTTCTTGTACGTCTTGATTCTTCTTACATTGGGAATTTAATGAACTGCATTTAATCGCAGATCATCATTGCAACTCAAATAACAATAACAATACCCGGCATCATATAGCATTAAATGATGACAGCTCATTTCAATGACTAGATTGGCACATTATTATATCCAGCAAGGAAATGCCTTCTTTATTTTTTTATTTTACTTGTTTGCTTGAATAAACTAGGATCGGCATAAGATTGAAAATTGTTAACTATGAACAAAACTTTTTGCGACCCAATCGTAATTTACGACGGTTCCAAAAACCTCCCTGGCGCATTAGAAAAAATATGTATCATATTGCCACATCAGGGTACACTTGCGATCTGATTTTTTATTAATTTTTTTGCCCAAGCTGTAGGTGCGTGTGGTGGCCCCATCATCTTTACACATTACCCAACTCGTGTTCAAAGGGATCTGGATATTCAAGCAATCTATGTGGCCATTTATCTTTTTATAAATCGTACCTTCGATGTTCCGACATTTTGTTACCAAAACGAACCGTTTCGGTAACCAGCGTAATCGAGTGGATCACCAGTGAGCCACGCTACAATTTACCGTTTTATATATTTACTGTTTAAATTACACATGTCATTTTCTTAAATTCACCATGTATCCCTCAGACGACTATTAAGTGGCATTGGTTTTACTGCAATTCTTTTTACGACTAAATCATCTCCATCGTCATATTGCAGTCAGATCTGTGACATTCCATACACAACTTTCACTTTACAATCACAAATCATGTGTCAAGTCGTGCAATAACATGACTTTACGAACGCAAAGGGTGGATTATTTTTGATTGAAAAGTAGGTAGGTGTAGTTTTATTATTTGGTAGTAGAATGTTTTGTAGAGTTCTCTTACAGAGTTCTCTTCTATAAATTGTAAACAAAGTCAATATTTCACCCGGTATTTATTCGTCGATTCAATACCTAGTCTGTGTTTCGTTTAATGCACCGGTAGTAGGAAATGAAGTGACGATCCGCACCGTCCGCACACGATATCCGCACCGCACAAAATATTACCTACTTTTGAACCAATTCAATACCCAGTGTTGTATATTATATATTTTTAACGTGCACAATACGAAAATGTGCCGCATCGATCTTATTTGCACATCAAGATCTCTTACATTATATTGTTTCAGACAAAAGGCATGTACATGATGGATGTGAATTTAGCCGTTCACCCTGTGAAAAACGCAATACAGCCGGAGGCCCCTAATGGTACCCTAGATACTGTCGTGTCCAACTTGATTTCATCAATACAAATAAGCCATCAAGTCGATATGGTCTACGTATATTTAAAATATCAGCCATCGGCGCGCCCAACCTTTTGCCTTGGGTAGGAATCATAATTCCTACGTGTAGCATGAGCCAAATCATATACGATCGTCCTACAGTATCTCAATGGTCAAGCAGCATATCTGGTTGAATATAGGTCACTGGTCATACTGCATTCTTGGGCCTGATGTTTGTAAGTCCGGAGTAGATCCGATTACTTTGTGACTAGATGTCATGGGGTGAAGTCAGATCCTGTCACTGTTAATGTTTCGCCACATGGTAAAGCATTAGGTCCAAACCAAACATCTGAGACCATCTAATCTTATGGAAAGATATTGGCCTGTCACTTATCTGGTCCAGTCCCTGCAATAAACATAATAAATATAATAAACATAATAAATATAATAAATATAAAACTTGATGAATTATTGTGCTATTTACGTGGTATCTAAGATTTTACAGAATTCCTTTTAGTCGGGCGTTTTTAAGTGAAACTGTGCATGAGTTATAGGTATTTCTTTTAAGTTGGAGATTCGCCTATTTAATTTTGCCTAGTCTATTTATATACATTTGCTACACCCGCTGCAGTCTCAATATCTACATTACCCATAAGCGAGGACACTTCATTGGTCCAAATTCCAATCGTCCGAATCCATATAGTCCGAATCCCTATAGTCGGAATCCCAAGCGCCCGAATCCCATTGGTCCGAAACCCAATGAAATTCGGACTATCGGGATTCGGAGGGGACCAATGGTATTCGGACGATTGGGATTCGGACAAATGGAGACAAATGGAATTCGGACAAATGGGATTCGGATGGACGGTTTCATAGTACTTACATATGTTGCATTGTATTTATCATACTCGTTGTACCAGTCTGGGAACCAGCCCAGAATGGCATGAACCGGAGCAAAACAATGGAATCTACTTCGTCCCGTACTATCTCGAGAATCTCCAATTTTTACACCTAGTTTTGATAAACAGTTTGCAGTTTCAATATCCTCTTCTGCATTCTCAATCATCCTACAAGTACTATGCAAACCCTCTTCTGCATACCTCCTCAGGGCTTCCTTGCTGATCACGTACCCTGCCCCGCCACTTAGGTATCCACCCGGGAGATATGGTACAAAATGATGACCATACATGACAGGTTCTGATGAGTTCTTGTCTTTTAGGAAGTATCTCAAATTGTCAACAAGGACGAAAGTGTCGTCATCAGCCTTCATAAACCAATCAAAATCATTGAAATGATTCTCATAGATGTAAGTCATTGCTGCTCGGACTTTCAGAACGAGCACTGAGTATTTATCCGACACATTTAAACCTATTGCGCCATATGTGTTGTTGTCCGTTGAACTAAATATCAAGAATTTATCGCATCTTTCCCCCCATGTGTTGTTCACTGCCCAGGCTTTGTGGAGAGAGTCGGGGAATGATGGCACCCAACAGAGCACCCGTGGGCTTCTAGGTGAGTATGCAGGATCTAAAAGTATGTCATGCAATTAATTCAAGTTACATTTAAAGTAAATTCGAGTTTGGCAAGTTATCAATAGACTTTATTTTTGAACTACCCCATGCCTAGCAGCTTGGCCCAAAGTGTGATACAGCTTGAACACCAAAATTGAACGATCTCGCCTTTTATCGTTATCATTTAAATCATAGTGTATATTCAAAAAAATTATGCCAAACTACTTCTCAAGAATGAAATATTTGAATGGTAAATAATAAATCCAACTTGCATATATATAAATATTTTAAGTGATAGACTTTTTAGATGATCCTGATGGCTTTTGTTGAATCAAAAAGACTTGTTTTTGGTCATAATTATGAATTGATAGTTTACACTAACATACACTGTTTGAGACAAAATTAGCAATATGTTAAGATCTGCTCTTAAACTCTAAGAATGACATCGTAACCAAAGAGTACGAGATTGGATCTGTTATATGTACGAATCACAAACCATTGGAGTTAATTCCATCATTGGTCCCTTCTTCAATTCTCATCTTGGTCGTGGCTTTTATATATCCCGAATTGTCCTCTTCTTTGACCACTGATACAAAACTGTATGACATAGAGAGATATAATGCCATGACAAGGTTTAGACATACTAATAATCCTACAATTCTTTTGACCCATTTACCAGGTCTTTTCGTATACATTTTAACTAAACATTGTTTTTGATAAAGTGATATAATGTATTGTCTCCAATTACAATGTTGATTTCAAAATGATTAAACAGTGAACGTCCACATACATATTGATGTTATACTTAGCCATCGGCTAAAATATTCATATTGAAATTTAATTTTTGACTCGAGGCATTTAATTAAACTTCTAGAAGCACATAGAAGTAAGAAATAATTAAATAGAATGATAGTGTGGTGCTTGAAACAATACACGAAAACATGAAGACCATAAAATTAAAGCTGCAGCATAGAATGAAAAATTTCGTGACACCGCAAGTAAAAAAGTTTGAATAAAGTTTGGAGTTTTATGATTCACGTTGTATCATATCGTTCGTATCGTTCGTATCGTATCGTTAGGTCAGTATCGTAGATACATAGAGGATATCCTATGATTTTTGTTTTTTAATTCTTTTCCATTTTTTATTTTATTTTCTGTGAACTTATATTAACTAAATGATTGCATGAAAAAATGTAGCTTATGCCTGGGTCACATTTGCTGCGATTCATCGGCCGGCGCCCGGACAATTAACTGAATACAATTTTGAACAAAACACTCAATCGGCTGGGCGTAGGCCGACGAATCGGAGCAAATGTGACACAGGCATTAATGAACAACTCTGTTAAGCTAAGTTCACACCAACGGCGCTTTGATGCGGCCTGCAAAGCGGCTTTACATGTCGCATTAAAGCGCCATCAAAGCGCCGTTGGTGTGAACTTAGCTTTACCACCACTGATTGAGGGATCATGAAACGTTTATGAACCTCATCATGCTGTGCACCTTATTGAAAACGACTTATCGATGTAATTTCACAACTATTACAATATCAGAAGCCGCGTCCGTCATTGGCTATTCCATTGAAAGGAACTGCCTCTGATATTCGTCATTAGGGCATTTGTCAGCTTCACCTGATACACAAAGGATTTGGGGTTGAGTTGAGAATTTACAACAACCAAGTATCCTCGATAGTCAAATCAGAAGTGTACAGGATGGGCCAAAAAACGTCCATATCGTTTTTATTTGGCGATTATGTTTTAATAATGTTTAGGCCTATATTTTAAAATATCTGTAATAAAGACGCGGGAAACAATTACTCCTAAAATGAAATAAATTAATTTGAATCTTCAGGGGTTCCTGGTATAAAGTTTTCAGAATAATGTCGAGTTAATAATTTTAATGATATGAATGCCTCAAGAAAGATTAAAATCGTATACTGTTTGTTGCCCTTTGAACATTGGTGCAACAAATCTTCCTATTTGGTCATACCCCTAGTTCGTTTTTCTCATTCACTGCGTCGCCTGCAAATTATTTAAATCATGCATTATAAAAGCCGCAGCAAACTATATGAACAGTTTTTGGCTCACCATGTACAGATAGAGTCACTTTCAAGTATACATGCATTTCTATACCATACTTTACACCTCGTTACAAAATAACATGACATCATCTTAAGAATAAGCAAATGGCTTGCGGTCGCTTTATTCGTATGTAAATGAATGGGAAGGATAAGTACAATATAAGTACACATGGAATGCATATACTAAGTACAATATATGTATAAATGGAATGCACAAAACAGTTAAGTTTATTTGAGAAAAGTGTTGTACAATTTTTATATAACACAGATTGTTGCATCGGATTTATATTTACCAAAAAGGGTGTGAATATTCTTACATAGTTTATGAAAAATGAAAATACCGATTGATTTTGGGGTCCTTCACACCATTAAAACCTAACAATTAGGAAAGGTATGGAATTACCCCTCCACCTATCGGCATTTGTTAACAGTTTTATTCTGTGAAGTGTTCATGCATAGGCGACCAAAGCCAGAATGATCCTAAATATCCAGCAATCTACCACAATAACAATACAACACGCTCACTCAGAAACAAACACATGCATGAAACTACACGCCAATCTGATTGGTAACCGAGTTTACAAGTACACAATAGAAAATATTTATGTTCTAATTCATTACACTCAACCGAACATAAATGATTATTCTATACCATACTTTACACCTCGTTACAAAATAACATGACATCATCTTAAGAATAAGCAAATGGCTTGCGGTCGCTTTACAGAAAAACTAGAGAAAGAAGTAATGCTATTTATGATATTTTGTTTATTTATAAACCCAAGTTCAATGTTACACCTAATTTGTGTATTAAATCGTCTTTAACGTAACCATCTTTGGCGGATTCTGATTTCCAACGTCCATGACGTTTAAAATTACGATCTAAAACAGAACCATTGGCTGCAGCAGTTGCACCGCCTGAACGTAACGAATGAACGCCAAATAAATTTGGATCAAGACCAATGGTCTTTAACATACTACGGACAATTTCCCTGACTGTTGTATACGATAATTGTTTGTCTTCTGTTCTTGCAACAAAGGCTCTTTGAAGTGGCTTAAATGACAGTGCCCTAAATATAAAGCACTCTTTTGACAGCTCATTTTTTGAGTTCAACGCTTTTAGATAACGTTGTAAAAGAGCGTAAGGACAAGTAGGATTGCCAGTTTTGGCAACAACAACTGAATTCCCTTCTCTGTATACATCAGTCTTGGAAGACGGAATATTTATAGTAAAATGAAATTCACTAAAGGAAATGTCACCAAAAGTGATCTGAGCTAATTCACTGTAACGCAAAAAAACTGCGAATCCCAAAACGCAAATTGTCACATTTCTTAATTCTTTGAGAGAACTTTGATCTGATAAAGAATCGACCAGTTTATGCAACATATCCGCTGTGAAAGGTTCTTTTTTAACAACTGGTTTACTCGCTTGTCTCTTAGCTGCATCTAGAATGTTTCGAACTAAGTAAGACTGACAGGGGTCCTCTAAACCGGCAGATGTGTGAGCCCAGCTTATTCCAGATTTAAGAGCATACAGAACGTTATATGATGAACCACTTTGTAACTGTGATAACAGGAAAATGGCTACGAACTTTGAGTTGGCTGGTAGATCGTTTACTTCATCGAAACTGTTGGTCCACTTAGTCCATTTTTCGAAATAAAAACTGTACTTCTTAATTGTATTTTCGCTTTTCCCATGTTTTGTGATTTCAGTCATAAGTTCCAACGACAAAGATTTGAGGCGAGTGTCTTTCACATTGTCGAATTGTAGCATACCATGTTTAATAACCCTGGAACCATATTGTATTTCTAATAGATAAATCAATTGACAAAAACTCCTCTCATGAGAACCTGCGGAATCTCTAAAAAATAAAATTATGTTTAAAGCCAGAATGCTGCCGATCCCTCTGCATCAATCACTGTAAAACGATGTTCATTCATATAATTCTAATAAAACATTTCAATTTAAGTTGACATTTTGTAAGTCAATGTATATATTTAATTTAATTTGAATAATTATCAATGATTTTTAAATATATTCTTAGTATAATTATAAATATACTCTTAGTGAGAATTGAAATAGTATTCCAGTGGCAGTCTGATTTTATAAGCACTCAGGAATATTCTAAATATGATTTTTGTAGCATTCAACATATATTCTCAGTGGCTATCAAATTTTGCTCTCAGTGGCAATCACTATGGTATTAAAAATAATCTCATATTAGCAATCAATGTACTATGTTCTTATCAATATCTAGTAATCGTTAGTAATACAATTGAATTCTGATTTACATTTATTATATGCTCTCAGTGGCTATTAATATAAGCTCTCAGTGGCTATATTTACAAACCCTTAGTGGCTATATATTTATAAGCTCCTCGGTGGCTATCAATATAAGCTCTCAGTGGCTATCAATATAAGCTCTCAGTGGCTATCATTATAAAATCTCAGTCGTTATCTATTCAAGCTCCTCAGTGGCTATCATTATAAGCTCTCGGTGGCTATCAATGTAACTCTCAGTGGCTATCAATATACTTTTACAATTGAGATCTATGAAATCAAGATATATCTGTAAATTCAGTAAATATGTTGTTTAAAAATCAATAAAGACTTTCAATGCTATCTTTAAAACGCTTAATAGGATGTGCCCAACTTTCCATTTAACCTCAAGGCCAGAACATGTGATTTTAACTTTTTCGTTCCAAACACAGTGTTAAGAAAACGTCCTTGTTGAAAAATATTCATGGGATTGCAAAACTCTATGTGATCTACCACAGTTGGAACAAAATTCCCATCTTTAAAAATGAGAGGCCAGAAATAAGACGATGTCCACTTTGGTACGATGAGCGTTCCCATAGCCTTACAAGCTATCAAATGATCGACTACCCGCCCTACAAGTTGAATAGGTGGAACAAGCCAATTGTTTTCATTTTCCCAGTTGAAACTGAAAGCATCTACCCCTTCGGTAGAGGGTTGGGCGAATTTGGAATTAAAACGTGGTAGTTTTGTATTATCTACGCTAGCGAAACGATCAATGGAATGAGGCCCATATCTTTGATTCAGAAATTTGAAAATAGATGGACACACCATCCAATCATCTGGATCGATCATTTTGCTCAAATCGTCTGCTCTTTGATTGAACTTTCTTGGAATCCAGTAAAAATTCAAGTCTATTTTGAACTTCCTACAAAATTCAAAAATTCTAATTGCTAAAGCCTGAAGCTCAGTGACCATGCTTCCTTTACTTGTAATTCTGCACACATTTTGATTGTCTGTAGACCAAGAAACGGACTTGTCAATAAGCTCACTTTTGAAAGAACTTAGAACAATTTCTACTGCCTTTAATTCTCTCCAAGTTGAACTTTTTACCTTTTCTGAATCCGTCCACGCTTGATAACTGATAGATTGATTTTTGAGTTCGCCATGCTCAATTATATAACCAGCCGCTGCGCTTTCAGAAGAGTCAGAATATACAAATCGTTCTGGAGCGTGACATTCTATCAAATCGACACCGTTGTATACATGTATGTTTGATAACCAAAATGATAATTCTGTTCGATCAAAATCTGATAGCACTGTATATTGATCCCAATTTGAAATTCCAGCAGTTTTCATGCTGAGATACCTAGTCATTAGCAAAGTGATCTTCCCTAAACCATGTCCCATTGAAATGATTTTTCCGACAATTGATGCTATTTGTCTATAAGTAACCTTTTTCTGTTTCAACGTAAGGATGACCAAATTCTTCAAATGTTCAATTTTTGAATCTGGAACGAAAATTTTGCCTTGGTTCATATCTAGAACAAAACCCAACCAAGTCAAGGATCCCTGTGGATTGAACTCTGACTTTTTCTCATTAATGACATATCCTGCACTGTTCAAATCCGACCTCAAAAGAGCGGCGTCCAGTTTTGATTGTTCAGTACTGTCAGAAACGTTTAGAGCATCATCTAAATAGAGAATGACCTTTAAACCTTTTGACCTCCAATGAGTGACAAGACTTTTGAAAACTTTGGTGAATACTAAACCTCCAGTACTGATTCCAAAAGGCAATACAGTGAAAACGTAGAACTTTTGTACACCTAACATGTTCCACGAAAACCCTAAAAAAGTTTGATGAGGTTCGCAAATATCGATGTGATGGTAACCGGAAGTGACGTCAAAGGATATTAATTTTGATCCTTTTTTCAAATAATTTTTAGCAGTTGACAAATCTTCATATTTCACACTAGATTTTAAAATGTACTCATTCGGATGTCTCATATCTAAAACCAAACGTTTCTTGCCAGATGAATTTTCCGCAACCGTCAAAGGATTAACAACCCATGGAATCTCATCAACTTCTTTTATACAACCCAGAATTTCTAGTGCCTGTATTTCTTTTACTACAAAATCGGAATTTTCAATTGCAGATTTGTTGTTATTCAAAATAGCTCTAGGTGGAATTTGTTCAAATGGAATTTTATAGCCATTAGCTATTATGTCAAGTACATAACTATTTGTGTTAATGCTTTGCCAGAAACTGAAATGCCTCTTTAAACTGCCTTTTACATTTACTTTGTTTCCCAGTGAATTCAAAATATCATTTGAGCTACTTAACTTGTCTATAGCTCCCTGACCAGAAGTGTGGGGTCTATCGAGATGCAACGTCGGTACTGGTCTTCTTTGTACAGGAATCTGCCCAGTGCGAAAGGTCCCCGCAGACCCAGCAGCCGCCTGGCTTGAAGTGACCTCTACCACGTTGGCTGATGTTGTTGGCAAAATAATTTCCGCGCCAGCCGTAGCCCCGGTTCCCGTAGGTCGGTCCACCGTAGAAATTCCCTGGTTGGAATTGGTTTCCCCATGCTGCGTCTCGTTGATAGTCTTCTCTGCCGAAACTGCCGCGATGCCTGAAATTATAACTACAGTAAAATTTTAAATGTTTGTGAGTACTTTGAATTTAGAAAATAAGCAATCAATTGACCAAATTGAAACAGTTTATGTAAAAATAGAAACATTTATATTTATCCCAACTTTTGTATATTTTAGTTTGTTTTGTAGTTTGGCTATCATATCTGTGTCCTCTTATATTTTGATACTTCTCTGCCATGTTATTTTCGGAAAAATTAACATGGCTGAAACTTTCTAAATTACAAAAGGCCACAGCTTTGCTGCATATTATACATTACTATCTGAAATATACAAAAGTTAGGATAAATATAAATGTTTCTATTTTTACATATACTGTTTCAATTTGGTCATTTGATTGCTTATTTTCTAAATTCAAAGTACTCACAAACATTTAAAATTTTACTGTACGACGAGAGAATCTTGATCGACTTGATCTCATTTTTCTAATAGCGTCTCTATCTGCGGAACGTATACGTTTATCATCGTCATCATCTAATGCTAATGGTTTTCTGTCATATTCTTCAACGGTTTTCCAACCTGCATCTGAACTATCAGCCATTTTGATTAATTTATTTCTATAATCAATTAAATTCATACCTTCTTGAAGCGTTTCGTGCGTTTTCATAATCAGTTCGTCTTGCTTTTCACCGGATTCCACCTTTGCAGCACGTTCCAACAGATTCTGGGAAGTATCAAAGCGTTCTTTTAGTTTCGAATTAAATTCATACTGCACTTTGTTACCCTTTCCCTTGAAGTTGAAATCGTCTTGCTTGAATTTCTTTAGAAGTTGTGTGTTTGTCTCCTCATTATCTTCTCTAAGAGCTCTCGAAAACTTGTTGAATTCTGAGGAAATAATATCTGTCACGTTTTTTAACGTGGCAGGCTGATCCATGTTGTGTGATTGAACTGTATGTGAAGTGTTCATGCATAGGCGACCAAAGCCAGAATGATCCTAAATATCCAGCAATCTACCACAATAACAATACAACACGCTCACTCAGAAACAAACACATGCATGAAACTACACGCCAATCTGATTGGTAACCGAGTTTACAAGTACACAATAGAAAATATTTATGTTCTAATTCATTACACTCAACCGAACATAAATGATTATTACAGATGTATAATACGGTATGATGTTTAAATTAGAAGGTGTAGTGCGCGTGCAGTATAACAGATCAGCAATATAGTTGGTATTTTGACACAGTAAGAATGATGACTAACATGATTTATTGAAGTTGACTGGTAAATCAACCATTCTATAGAGGATCATTCTTCAAATCAGCTTATGTCTCAGTAGGCCTATTCTACAGTCAAAATCAAGTAAAATAGCCATATTCAAAACAAACTATAGGCCAGGTACATGTTTTTATTTTTTCAATATACAGTGCTCACCATAAATAAATGACACCTGGATTTGCTGAAGTGAGGATTTCCCATTTTAAAAATAAGAGAATTTTCAAGAGGCTATACATCAGTGGATGAGATTATACAAAATGTAAAATATACATATTTTAGAGGATATGTATCTAGACATTATTGGAAAGTATGAAGTCTCAAATCACCATGGTCTGGAAATGGTGATAGGAAATCCACGTGTCATTTATTTATGCACTTTACTGTTGTAATGTCAATGTGATCCTTCGATTCAAGTTGCCACTAAAGTTTTGATTTTGACCGTATGATTTGTTTTTCAACTGCTTATGTTTTTCCGTACCAAATCCAAATGGTAATTTTTATCATATTTCAGAAGGAGTGCTTCCATTCTTACCGTGAGAATTTCATAGGCGTGCCCCTCATTAAAAGATTTTGAAACCAAAGATGTCGGTGTTCAATCTTTTCTTCTATGGTGACAAGAGCGGTCCAGTTGTTCAATCGACGAAAAAACAATTCATCAACGTAATGAATGACCAAGTAAACAATGGGATGAATGCAAATGTGACAAATGGAATAAATGGACGATTGAACAATGGCATAAATGACCAAGTAAACAATGGAATGAATGCAAATGTGAACAATGGAATAAATCCTGTGCAAAGACCAAAAGTATTGCCATATTCTTCAAAGACTGGAGTTGCACATATGAATCATGTGCCGATACTCCCTTCATTGAGACAAACTGCACCAGAACGTTCTGTGCTCGGATATAATAGATGTGGATATCCTGCACACAGATACCCTTCACATAGATACCATACACCAGGAGTACTAGCATTAAAACACCCCGTGTCAGGACAATCTGTTTCTAAATTTTCTGCACCGAAAGAATCTGTATCTGAACAACGTATGCCAAATAATCGTATGCCAAATCATCATATGCCAACTCATCAGGAACTGAAGCATCACTCAACAAATGTCTTACCAGTATATTCCTCGTTTCGACATCCTCCAACAAAAACAGGAAAACATGCTGTAACAAGCGAAAGACCAATATCAAGAAGGCCTCGCAATTTTAACGATGGATTATACATAAACACTGTAACCCCTGTAAGTCCACATATTTTACACCATACTGCTGGGACCAACATCCCATCTTCGGAAAAGATGTGCTGGCCTTTAAGTCCTATACATACTGTCGAATATGATTCAATTTCCCCATTCAGTCCTCGCCAGTTTTCATCAAGAGGACCAATTGCTAGAGAAGATCCACATCTAACTGCAGATAATAAAGTTGACAGTTCACCAGTTCGAAATGATCAAGTGCTAAACTCTCTATTTGCTATAGACAATATTCTTGATAGTAGAACCCCATTCAAAGTTGAACGATTTAAGTTTGACGAGGCTGATATTCGACATTACCAGCAAGCTAGGGGGTTGACAATTGTAGATCAGGGAATGCAAAATCAAGAGTCCACAGATGTAGATTCAAGACAGACAGCTTGTCATCCTGGACTTTTACACGGTGAGAAACACTCCGATTCACAAAAAGTAAAGACTCAATACGATGCTAAAGTTGCTACATCACCCACTATGCCTAAATCACAAAAAATGTTACAAAAGTCACCTACGTGTAAACAAACGACTAAAAGTTCTGCATCACGTGAAAACATACCTGGACTTCCCACATCATCAGGGTTTATGGACATACCATCTGATGAAGATCTCTCTGCATCCTTTGCTAAAACAATGTCCTTATCATCAGAGGAGTTGTTTCCTGCTTTGGGCGAGCTCACATTCTCGGATATATCTATTTCTGTTGATGTGTCCCATGATACTTCGGATGTGTTAGAATCAACAGACTCTTCTGCTATGGAAACTGTACAAACATCACCGACTGTGCTTCAATCTCCAACTGTGCCAAAATCACCAATGTCACCTATTGTTCTTCAATCTCCAATTGTGCAAAAATCACCAACTGTGCTTGAACATGTTGAATCCCAAACTGTACACAAATCACCAACTTTGCTTAATTCTTCATCTATACAAAAATCACCAATTTTGCTTAAATTTCCAACTTTTCAAAAATCACCAATTGTACAAAAACTAGCCGTACAGCGTACAAACTATCGGCGGACTTGTAAAAAACTGCCGCAGCGCACAAGACGCAAACGTGCATGTGATAAACTGTCACAACTCTCAGTGAGTAAACCTAAGCGCTTTAAACTTCATTTTAGGGGTGATGTAATAGTTGATGCTGATCTTCCAATTGATGGTTGGGATCTTAAGACCAATAGTTGCACTCAGGATGGTGATACTATAAATATTACAAATGTTGATGAAAATTCAGTTATTGGCAATGATGTGAACTCTCAACCAGTGTCGGACAACACAGCTGCTGTGTCGGACATTCCAGTTATGTTGGACATTCCTGCTGTATCAGACATTCCAGCTGTGGCGGACATTGCAGGTCTATCGGACGTTTCAGCTGTGGCAGACATTCCAGCCGTGACAGATAATTCAGCTGTGACAGACATTCCAGATGTGTTGGACTTTCCAGATTTGGCAGACATTCCTGCTGTGGCGGACGTTCCAACTGTGTCGGACATCCAAGATGTGACAGACGTTCAAGATATGTTGGACATTCCAGCTGTGGCGGACATTCCAGATGTGTTGGACATTCCAACTGTGGCGGGCATTCCAGCTGTGGCGGACATTCCAGCTGTGGCGGACATTCCAGCTGTTGCGGACATTGCAGGTCTGCCGGACATTTCAGCTGTGGCGGACATTGCAGGTCTGCCGGACATTTCAGCTGTGTCAATAAATTATGATAGCAATACGAAATCTTCCATTAACCGTAAAACACGTTTAAGTAGATATAGAGCGAGGGACCTTGTATTTCAACACAGTAGGCAAACTCCACAAACAGAAACACACCCATTGGGATCAGCAAAACGTGTGAGACACATCATGAATGACTGGTACCAGGATAACAGATATCATCCTTTTATTTCTGAATCTAAATGCACAGAGTTGGCCACCAAGGCAGGAGTAACAAAGCAAAAGATTAGAAAGTGGTTGGCAGATAAGCGTTATAGAGAAAAGAAATTTCTTTCCAATTTTGAAAAGATTGACCAAATTGAGATTAGTGCAGAGATTGATGAACTGAATTATACCTCATATGGATCATGCATGGAATAGTATGTAACGGTGATCTATCTAACTATAAATGGACACAAAATGAGAACATTTTTTATACCTTTCATAATTTTGAATTTTATGATATTTTGAATGATGCTAAGTTTTACTTCCTTGTAATTTAATGCCATTTTTTATCTAAACATGGATATTGAATGATAACATTCGTTACCCATTTTATCTTCCATTGTACAATTCATGGTATTAACAATGTTGCACCTAACTTTACCTTATTTGGATTATAGTGCTTTATCATCTTAGACTATATATGGATATTATATATACAGTAAATGAGACGAATCTTATCTTTACAAGAACAATTTTACCTATTACTAAACACCCGTGTAAAGTTCAATGGTAATTTTATTTAGATCAGATATTAATGAATAGCTCAATTTCGTCATATGATTTTAGTCGATTAATGATTTTATTATATTTTAGAGACTTGTCGAACTTAGGAACCAAGTGTCACATTAAAGAACATGTATAAATATACAAAATGTTTTTAAATTACGTGTTCATGATGTATGTGGGTTAGGGTTCAATGAAAAATCGTTGGCTGCGAGCTAAATATCGTTACCCTTGATTTGACTCAAGTACATGTTATATTTATTTTCTAAATATTAAACGATTCTTATCCACAATTGCGAAAATACTGTGTCATCTATGTCATGTATGTATTACAAAATGTTACCAACGTCCTTAATTCAATTCCCCGAGTTTCAAAGAATACGAAATACTCTACAGGTCAAGACAACTACATATACAACCCCCCAAAGACAACTACGCACATATAACCTTTATGTATGTAATAGTTATGCAAATTAGATGCCCAGTGAAGTAAAATGTTATCTGTCCAAAACAAGAAAAGATATTTCACTTTTTGTGATTTGTAACATGGGGTATTTGGGGAATCAATCCGAACTAGTCACATTTTCAAAAAAATTAAATTTTCAAAGTTGATAAACAATTTTTGAAACCACTGAGATGTACTTTTACCATCACTACTTTGACTGAATTTGGAATATTTAATGACATAAATCAAGATTATTTCTACTCGCATCTAGTCTATATAATTGTAGACCTCTCTTCAACGGTGAACTGTACTAAATGTGACTCTGGGATATTTAAAAACTAAATGTGACAAATAAAGCCTTGCAAGTGACAATTTTGGACACTGATCCAGGCCCGTAGCCAGGATTTGCCAAGGGGGGGGGGGGTTCAGTTTTCAAAAATTTCCAGGGGGGTTTACATTTGACAATTTTAGCCCAAATATCACTTGAAAAGTGCTCAAAATGGTGAAAAACTGCATGATTCTGAAAGAATTTTTGGCCAGGGGGGGTTCGCCCGAACCCTGCGAACCCCCCTGGCTACAGGCCTGCTGATCTGACTGACAAGGGTTTTGAAAGTGACAAAAACAGACAATTCATTCTGAATGTATGGATTCAAGTAAAGGATACTCATTCGAATTCAAACCATTTATCGAACAACGAAACATGACAGACCATTTGTTGCATTAATTGCTTTGACTAAACTGTAAAGGAATGAATCTGACAAAACCCCGAGGACAAAATATGAAGTAAATTTTGACAATTGACAGTTTGGAAATTTTAAAAGTGACTAAAGTAACATTATTTGCTCCGCTTGAGGCCACCATAACCAAAGCACCAACAGAAGGATAAAGGAGGTTGTTAAGAAAAACCAAATGCCAATGCATTTCAATGCCCCGGGAAAAGTTATTTTTAATATTTTCGCTCAGTGTAAAGGATCCGGAAGTTAGACAAAAAAGCCCGGATGTTTCTGTTTGGCTCTATTTTTAAAACTTGCAAAATCTATGTTACGTTTATTCGATTATTGACACGATTCTAGAGTTTCCAAAGGCCATGGCAAGGAGAGACCTCTCAAGAACATTCAGTGAATTCGAATCTGATGAGTTAACGTTGGATACAACTGATCCAACTGACATATCAGTGACTTTAGACAGCGATTTTGAAAATGGAAAGAAGGAAAATAAAAAACCAAAACAAACAAAAGTTACAAAGCAGCTAATTGAATATAAACAAATGAAACATGATATTCAACTATTGAAAATAGAACTGTCACAGAAGGAGTTGTTAATGGACAATCTCAAAGCAGATCACATGCAAAAAGTGGAAGAGCTGGAGGAACAATTGAATGGGACACATCATCAAAAACAAATTTTACAAGCACGTCTTGAAACACAACTAAGACTACAAGAAGAAGAATCACGGAAACGTCAATCTGCAATAAAAAGACAATATGAAAATATTCTCGAAAAGCAAAAAGATATAGAATCCGCTAACAAAAAATTACAGGCTCGTGCATATGATGCACGCAGGACATTGCAGGATATAATCTTGATTGATGAGGAATATGAAGAATTAAAAAGTCAAAATGAAGAGAATCTTTCACTTAGAGATTTTGTAGCTGTGAGTCATCATTTTGGCTTTATTATAAATGTGTGATTATACCAGTTACTAGTCTCACAGAATTCATTAAATAGATTTGTCAGGGCTGCCAGTGGCTCTGATGGACTGTCAATAATGTTTTATCTTCTTAGATATAAAAATGAAGCCTTCTGTATGAGTATGGTTAGCCTTAGCTAATCCTCAACCAATGGCAGATCATTGACAAGATGAATTAGAACTGCATTACTTATTTTGCTAAAATCATCTTCATGAAATAAAACCTGTTTTTGATTTGTGTATTTACAGGTGAGAGTGTATGAATCTTTAAGGCCCCTGAAAATTGAAGTAGAGCGTCATAAATCACACATTAAACAATTACAAAATGAATTACAAACTTCTCAATTAGCGATTGAGGAATGCGACGAGGTAAGTAAAATGTTTGTCATCTTATTAATCTGGCATAATTTTTTCTCATACAATTTTTATAATTATAATTTACAGACAAATGGAAAATCAATATATTATTGGTACTCATTAATCAATATCAAAAACATTTTCTAAAAATACAGAACAAAAGTTGACTGAAGAGCTGATCCATAACCCCTTGAAGTAAATTTGATTTCACTAAAAGGCAGCTTCATCTAAAAAAAACCACACACATCTTAACTCTTAAAATAAGATCTTATCAGTTTCAAAACTACATTTATTTATCTTAAAAAGAGATAAGTTATCAACCTTTGTGCCCCAGAGTATCAAATACAATGTTTTTCATTCTAATTAATATTGCAGAAGTACCAAGAAGAACACAGGGCGCATGAAAACTTGAAGGTCTCCCACCAAAGATTGACACTACAGCTGGCTGACACACAAACACAAATTAAACAGGGAGATTATAAACTAGAAAACTATGATAGAGTCAAATTGTGAGTTATAAATCATTGGATTTCAAAGTACAGTTCAAGTCGCAAGGTTTCTAGAGTTCGCCTTTTCCGTTATGCAATGAAGCCGCAGTATAATTATTGGTATTGAAATTAACACTTCTTCTTATGAGTTTTCTAATAAGATCTCCTAAGTAAAATGTGTTTGTATTCTTTCATTGATTGATATGTATTGTCTTGAAAGCTCGGGTTTGTCTTCATTTACTAAACTTTGTTGGACAGACTATCTGGTTTATTGTACACTCTTCCTTCAACTTCCTGATATTTTCATTATACTGTAGATACACTTAATTCGATGATACTTAATTTGTCAATCCATCAAATTAAAACAGTAACCATCTACAGTATCACATAATTTGTTCTTCATTGGATAATATTGAGTGGAAATACCACCACTCGGATATGAGCTTACCATTCACTTTAGATTACAATCATTTTCTTTAATTAAAAATCATCATTACTGTATTTATCCACTGTTTTAATCCCTAGGAGATTTTACAAATGTTGATCAATGTTTTCCACCACTCATTCGGACAATTTAGCAAAGATAGTTTCTTGGCAATATAATTCATTTAATATTTTACCTGTAAAATATCTGTATTACATAGTAATTTATTGCTCTATTGTTGTAGTCTTTGATGTCATAATTAAAAGAATTTTTGTCAGTTACTTGAAAAAGATTTACCTTATAAATTAAAATATTGCAAAACATTTTCTTACAAAGATGAATGATGGATATTTTTGTAGGGAACGTGATGAATTGGAGCATGACCTTATGGAGTTGAAGAAACGTTATGTTTACATTGAGGCTTCTCTGCAGACTACATCTGCAGACAGGGCTGATCTCTCAAGTCAGGTATAAATGAATGTGTAACACAAGTAAATACATGGTGACCAGAAATTTTCAAGCATTACTCAGATTCACACAAGAAAATTCAGAATGATTGCGACATAATTAAGATATTGCTTTTGAATTATCAAAGGGTTGCACTTTTTCTCACAATTTTTGAAAATGCTGGTGGGCATGTATTCGCCTCTGGGTCGGATGGGTGTCAAATAAATCTTGTTATTAAAATTCTTGGAAAACTGTTTTACTATTCAAGACCAGACTGGTGTCAATATCTGATAAGATTTTTAACTTGTTGGGTTTTTAACTTGGTGGCCATTTTTTGGATGAAAAGTGAAATATTTATCACTGTTTTGTTGGTTATCTTGTTGAAGTACTAATTAATCTACTAATGATTTGCAAGCAAGTACAAGCAAGCAAGTGATATTATAAAGCTTTCACTTACTAATTGCATACATACTAATTTTTGTAATATTGGTTGCCATCCTAACTCAGGACAATCACTGTCTATACAATTAATATTGATATTGTATATACAATCGATATTGTAAGCTTGATATTGTATTACAAACACATTGCACAATTTTTAATTCCAGACAACTTCGGCAAAACAGTCCATAGCCCTGTTGACCCAGGACAAAGACTATCTGTCCAAGCAAGTGTCAGACCTTACAAGGAAGTCTCTCTATGCAGAAGAGAAGTTGGATGATATAAATACTCAACTGGAGACAGTTAAGAAAGCCAGAGAGGAGCTTTATGAAAAGTACATGCATGCAAGGTAAGACAACTTAATTCAATACCTCACTTTAACTTTTGACCTCATTCTAATAGCTCAAAGCTGCAACATGTTTCAAGCTTAGTTAAGGTCTGTTGATTATGTAAGTTACATGTTATTCTTAATTAAAATATTGAGCTTTAATTGCACTTTCATAAAGTGCTATATTGTCGTCAACTTGTACTTGTGGGTATGCCTATGGGTATGCATCTGGGTGGGCAGGCACCAGGCAGGCGCCCCATAAATGTTGTCATCAAAGTTCCAGATAAGAATTACAGGCATTGTACTTTGAATTCTGCCTAATTCTCAATTGACCAGTATATAAACAAGCATGAGATTAAATTATGTGTGTATGGGGCCAATTTATTTTAGTTTTCCGAAGATGTATAACCCCTCTAATTGATTCTGTACCTTTTCCCTACAGAGACCAATATAAGAGTGAGTATGAGATGAAACTTCGAGAACAACTTGATGAGATCAGAGTAAGAACCAACACAGAAATAGACAGATTAAAGACAAGCACAAGGGAAATGTATGAGAGAGAGAACAGGTAAGATGACAGATATGTTAAGTCTGGATGAAAAATAACAATCAACCTTAAATAAATGAGGCAACTTTAAATCGGTGAGGTAACTTTAAATAGGGTGAAGCAAATTTAGACAATATGATATATATCTCTACCTTAGGACTTCACTTGCATGTAGTTAGAGCAAAAAATATTAAGTATTACATATTAACATTACATATTAAGTTTACAATACAAAGTCTTTGTAGAGTGAGACACCCTGTATGTTATATTTGCAGAAGTCTAAGAGAAGCAAGGGATTCAGCACAGTCTGAGAGAGACAGGGCAGTCTTAGAGGAAAAGAACACCAGTGCCAAACTAGAACAACTAATGAATGAGTAAGACCCAATTTCAATCTACCTTTCCAATAAACTAAATTGCCTTCTTTTACTGTACAAAAGAAGGTAAGAATATTGGCCAGAATCATCAGTTCATAGGTTGTAGGCAGTAATGTTAACTAACTAAGAAATTGTCCACAATAAGCAATTAGTAAATCCTATTTTTGATCAGAAAAATTGCTAAACTTTGACATAACGAATCAATTGCTTCTTTTGGGAAAGATTTATATAAGTAATTTTATCACCACTGGAAAATTAAGAGTATGTTCACATGAATATGTTTAATGGCCTTGTAAATGCAATTAGATAAGTCATTTGAACTACAAATATTTGAGTCTTATAGAAATATATAATGATTGAAATGTGAACATCTTTATTTTAGATATAGACAACAACAGATCAATGGTGATAATGCACTATGTGAGACCCAGAATGATCTAAAGATGAAAGCATTTGAGATAGAACGTACGCAGATGGTTTATGAGGAAACACTCAACAACTTCAAAAACTCACAACTAGATATAGAGAAATTGCAGAAAAAACTGGAGGTAAGATAATATAGAGGTTATTTAATGAGAGGTTTTTGATACAGGGTATATCTGAGGGAAATACAATATATCTACCCGAGGGACCGTAGGGACCGAGGACCGCATGTTATTTACCTATAACACTACAAAGTACCTAATTATAGGATATATAGAGGTTATTTAATGGGAGGGATGGAATATGGATTTTATTCCGAGGGAAAATATGATATTGGCCAAGAAAAATATGATATTGACCGAGGGCGATAGCCCGAGTGTCAATATGATATTTTCAATATCATATTTTCTCAAGGAATAAATCCATATTCCATCACGACCATCAATAACCTATTTATTTCATAATATTAGACATATTTGTCACAGTAATAGACCTTTGTCACAGTAATAGACGTAAACTAGATGATAATAATTTCAATAATTTCAATTTTCCAAACGATTTTTTTACTTCCTGTAGAGATGTGCTAGACGAAAAGCGTAAAACTCAAGAGAAATTACCGGGAATATTTCTGATACGGGATCTGATACAGGATTTTTGCTGATACGGGATCCAATACGGGATCTGATACGGGATTTTGGCTGATACGGGATCTGATACGGGATTTTTCAAATAACACTTTTATTCCCTGTTATTTTCCCAGGGAAAACATGTTATTATGGAATAAATACACTTTCAGGGGCTTGGACAATTGTTATTTACTTTTGAATTTACTTTTTTTTGTTTGAAATGGATGTTTTTTTTAATCCCAAATACTAAGCATCTTGTATAGCTGTTGGTGAGGTATTTTCTTGAAAAGCATTTTAGAAGTAACATAATTTGTAGTATTTTCAACCAATTTTGAAAATGATAACTCGGGTCTCAAAATGGGATCAATTTTAGTGTAGATTTCACTGGTTTGGTACAAAAGTAAAGGTGTCAAAATAGTTTCAAAAATGAAAAAAATTGATGTGAGTATTAGCTAGCAGCCAGTAATGGTTTGTATTGGTTTGTCAACAAATTACTTTTTTTTATGTATCAGTGTGTGATGTGACTATGATTTTGGTTACTTTTGTACAAGTATGGTTTCTGACCCGTACCAATCAAAATACATAATTTGCAATACATTTTATCATGTAATCTTCAAATGTCTTATTTCTGTCCTGGTAATTATGAGAGTACTAAAATGTTAAAATATTTTTTGATTTGAAAAGTAAACAGGGTGCCCTGAGTAACAGAAACTAGGAATTTGTAAAATCCATTGTTCTCTAATTTTGGCTTCAATATATTCATGGTTACAACAGTAATTGATTTGCGAATTTGTAACTTTACTAAGTTTCTGTTAATGACCCCCAGATTTCTCTAAGAATGTATATTAGATTGATTTTCAAAAAATAGCGACTTTTTCAACAAAGATTGTGGTTTCCATGACAACTATCAATGACTGACTAAAAAAAGTCAATTTATCTCAACAACTGTTAGCGTTCACCTTTATGAGATCAATGTATACTTGTATTATGTTGACGTAAAATGTCAATACATTCACTCTGATCTCTTTGTTCTTTACTTGTTACTTGTTTTATAAGGCAAAACCAATGGCTTTCTCCTTTTGGGAATCATATAGGGAATCAATGTACCCCGGTATTTATAGATAAAACTCCAATTTTCAGATAAAAATCATCCTTTCAAGACCAATGCAGGGCATCAAATATTCTTTTGTACACGGACATTTCATTGCTGTTTCTGCGAATAATATTGATTTTTATTTTTCCCAATATAACTTTGGAACAAACACCAGAAATTGTTTATGTTTCATATTCATTTTTATTATTTCAATAGCAATTTTTGCAAAATATCATCCAGAATCAACTTGTTTGTTTGTCAACAATTTCCCTTATTTGTGGCAACAGTTTCAGGTATACAGTAAAACTAGTAAAGTGGTACACTTCTTAAAAGTTGAACATTTCTTTATGTAGAACATCTCTGTTGTGGAACAAGGTGTTCCCACGAGTTTTATATAAAGATGCACTTCTGTCACAACTTCGTAATGTGCTATTTTTAAATGCAAATGCCTATAGCAAACATAGTCTATATACACATATGCATCACAGGCCTTTTACATTGTTATAGATAAATGTAAAATACTTTTAGTATACAATTGTTAGGTTTTTGCAGCTCAAGAAATGTGTTCTCTCAGATTACATACACTGAAGATTTGGCAAAACCTCCACATGCCTTTGTATTGTCTCCAGGACACGCATTGGTACATTCTGTACTAGAGCCATGTGTTCCATATTTAGAACCACACCAACATTGGCTGCCAGTTTGCACTCCAGCATAAAGAAACCCTGCAAGGAAGGTTGATTATATTATGATATCATATATGACAATCTTTGTTTGTTTGGTCAATAATTGGGATATTGGAGTTTGTTTCTGGGTTTGTGTCTCTTTATGGTCAAAATGTCAATATCAGTCCTCTCCACAGGATTTTTTCACAAGTGGGTGCAAAATTCAAATGTTCACAATTCAGACCGAATTCAGTTAAAATATGCCCATTTTTCTTATTTTCAAGTGGGTGCAAATGAATTTTCAGGTGGGTGCAAGCCTATTTTTAAAATCTCAGGTGGGAGCTGTGCCCACTTGCTTTAATGCTAGGGAGATCACTGAATATGGTAAAAACACAACATAAAATTGACAACAATGAACTGTTCGATATGTATGATTTATGATGTTTGAATTTTATTGCCAGTAGTTGCCTTTCCAATGTGCAGAAATATTCTGGGGCTAATAAATATCATATGCTTAAGAATACTATAAAGGCAACACATTTTTGTTCCACCCATTTTTTGTGCAAATAATTGAAACTAACAGCTTTCAAGCGATGCAGTAAGAGTCACACATTAAATTCAGAAATATCTTTGCTAGCTTTGACGATTTGCTCGATTGTATAGTTCAACTACAAGGATAGGGTGACCTCAAAAATGCAACCCTCAAAGGCTAAATTTATCTGTGTAATATAAATCAAAAAGGTTCTCCCATTACTGAAAATATTATTAAAAAATAGGGGTGGACTTTTTCAGTCACCGTTGTAAAACGGGGCAAAACTGTCCCATCGAAAATCATTGTTACCTTCATTTAGGTTTTGGCATGCGTCAATACATCCTTTGGGGGTCATAGAATAAGGAACGCTTACTAGAACATCTAGATCTAAGGGAGATGTCTCTACATAGCATCCAAGGTACAAGATAATTTCAACCGCTGGAACATATTCAAAATTCTAATGTTATAAATGACTTCGTAAAAAAGAATTAAAATTGATGAAATGAGAGAGCTTAGCCAATGAGTGCAGATATTGATATCAATGAGTGGATTAAAATGATATCATGAAAATTCATAGGATGTTCTAGTTATCCCATAGTTCACCTATAAAACTAACCCAAACATTTTAAAACATCATTCATGTCTTCATTTATCAAGTGACATCATGAAATCATCAAGTAACAATACACATCACATTGGCGAAAGTTTTCAAATCTGTGGAAAAACTGTGATCGCTGGAATATTCTCCATATTCGACAGATATCTTTTTCCATGCATTTGCAAAAATTCATTAATTTATTTCCATGTTATCATACAGATTTGACCTCAACTATGGGGAGAGTTTAGATACCCTTGCAATTTCAGTCAGTGATTAGATCAAATTATTTCACAGGCCCGTAGCCAGGGGGGTTCAATGGGTTTGAGCGAACCCCATCCCCTGGACAAAAAATCTTTCAAAATCATGCAGTTTTTCACCATTCTGAGCACTTTTTAAGTGATTTGGGCCATTTTTAGACCAAAATTGTCACAAGTGAACCCCCCTGGAATTTTTCAAAAAGTGAACCCCTCTTGGCAAATCCTGGCTACTGTCCTGTTTCACATATTATACTGTAAATTATTGTATCTCAGTCAAGGAAGAAAAAGTTTTGACAAGAGATATAGTGATAATGGCAACAAAATATTATACTATTAACATTGAAACAATGGGGTAAATAATAATGTTGTCAATGGAATACAGTATGCTGTTAATATGAAATAAGAGATTACATTAGTGTAATGTTAAACTGCAATAGAGATCATGATAAAAAAAGAACATCAGAGCACTGAAATATGATGGTTTCGTTTTTCTTACAATATCTCTATTTATTCTGCTTAATATTTTACTTGCAAAAAACATCCAAGCAGAATGTTTATTTAAACTTCTCATTATATGCTCCCACGTGTTGTTTATCATTCAATTATTGGCTCGTGTTTTGTGTACTGTATTAACTATTTATGCCATAGAATGTTCGTCTTGCGCTTAATCATCAATATTATTGTCAGTCTATGATTACACAGATTTCTTTGTATTATGACTATTATTTTCAGGTTCACCACTTTTGATGTACTTTTACACTACACTTTTGAAAAGATAAAATGAAGTCTTATTTAAAAGTCTCAGAGTAGACCTTTATTTAAAAAGTCAACCAATCGTAAACCGAACCCTTAACCAAACTTAAATCTATGAGCACAAAACTTGACCATTTTAGTAAAACAATGTATTTTTCTCTTGTAAATTAAAACCTTGCATGGAATATATTGTACCAGTTATATTATCAGTTTGACAATAATGTTTCGTAACCTTGTCAAACTTTATTATTTGTATTATTGCATGTAATCCATACAGGGCTCTTACCAGGAAATATTTAGGGTGTGGTGCTAACATCTTCAGAATAACCGTTCAATCGTGAAAAATCATATTAATGTTATGTTTAATCCTATTTATTGTTTATTCAGTCAAGTTTAGACTGTGGAAACAATCATGATTTGCCAGTAGGTTGTGGCGGAGGCTAAATAGAGTGTGGTGCTGCACCCCGGCTGTACCACAGTCTAAAAGCCTGGCGAGAGCCCTGCCATGTATGAAATATATGATTGATAAAATTAAAGGAGAAAAATACTTACTTGAAGTGCAGTAGAGGTTATATCCTGAAGTTTCTGGTACCTTAATAAGTGAGCCAGTTGGTTGTAGAAGATGGCATTTATATTGTTGTGAATCGTATTGAAAACAGGAACATCCCATGCTAGACACACAGAGGGATGCACAAACATAAATACTTGATGCAGATGTATTAACAGTGAAAACAATATCCTGCACATTTTCATGATACTTAAAAAATTCATCAATACTTGCAGCCTCGCAGTGTATAAGAAAAAATGTTGAAATTAAAATTAAAACTGATTTCATATTTCCGTTTGCGAAAATTCAAAGCGTGTCTGTCAATGGAGTTATCTTTTGGTTATTAATTCCTTGAGTGTACAGTATAGGTTTTTGTGGACTGTGTTCGATAATAGATAACATGTGGCATTTCTAAGTACTCTTGGTCAATATAAATAAGCCAAGATAATTCATTAGTGATTGAGACTGTTAAAATATAGCAATTAAAAAGATCATCATTGATCTTTGCTTCATTTATTAATTTTCAGCTCAATGATTTCACTGGTGGTATTGGATGGAAACTTCATGAAGTTTTTTGCAATCACAGATATCGATATCATTCTAAGAAAAATAGGAACAAATGAATATTTAACTTTACAAAGGTTTCTGTTAATGGCATCCTGCTGTATTATTACTGAAACAGAAATGCTTTTATTCCATACAGAGAACAATAAGATAGGTCTAGGGAAGTCCAGAAAAGGTCAATGCCCTGAAAGAAACCCTGTAAAATATTTCAACTTGGGAAGTTTTGAAACATCCTGGGGGTCATTATCAGAACTTATGCAAAGTTCGTAACTTCATGAAATTCATAAATATTTAAAAAGTTACGAATGCGTAAAGTTACGAATCGGCTATTAACAGGACACTTTCGTAAGTCATTCATAAGTTATTTCGTTCGTAAATTGTGACGTCATCTCATATCATTATTTAGCACAAATAAAAATATGATGTCATTTGATATCATTGTGCGCTGTGATTAAACCTGTCTCCGCGATTTCAAAGATTCCGAGCTCAGGAACATATTTGCTTATCATGTAAGAATTGGTGCATATTTTAGCTTGAAACTTAGTATGCATATAAACATATGTGACGTCATTTTTTTGTAACTTTGCGAATCGTTCGTAACTTTACGATAGTCCTGTTAATGCACATTTACCAAATCCGTAAAATTAACAACTGACTTGCGAATTCATAACTTTGTAAAAGTTCTGTTCATGACCCCCTGGTTAATTGAGACAAGCTATTACCATTAAGATTTTATTTGTATCTTTCATGAAATTCTTTATATGTAATTCTTCTCTAGGTGTTAACCAAGGAGTATTATGCTGTAGAGACGTCAAGAGACAAAGAGGTGTCCATACTGGAGACGCAATTAAAGGAGACAAAGCAAAAACTGGAGACTTATGAGAAGCTAGAGAGTGAATTGGATGATGTTGTTATGCAAGCAGCAGAAAGTAAGAAACTGAATCAGGGTTTTTATTGGAGTTTCTGATAACAAGTAAAATAGACAAATAAAATGATTGGCAATTACATGTATGGCAGTTTTTCATTCCTTGTAAAATAGACTCTTAGGGTGGTTGGCAGTCGGTGGTTGGCGGTTGGTGTCTGTAACAAATTCTTACAACTTCAATAACTTAACAAATATTGTTTAGACTGACTTCATTTAAAAAAAAAATATCTACAAGTTTTCAGAAGTTCAAATCTGACTTCAGATTTGAGCAACTAGGTGGTGACATTTTGTCATGTAAATGCCTTGTATTGTAGTTGACAATAAACTATGAAGCAGAGAGAGTGTTATTCTCTTATGCCTTTGTATTTCATTATAGTTGACAATGAGTCTGAAGCAGAGAGAGTGTTATTCTCATATGGATATGGAGCTAATGTTCCCAGTACAGCCAAAAGACGCCTACAACAGAGTGTTCACCTAGCCAGACGGGTCCTACAATTAGAGAGAGCAAATAGTTCTCTCAGGCAAGAAATACAGCGAGAAACTAGCAAAGTTAAGCAGCTGTCTGAAGAAGTAAGATATGATGAAACAAATCATGGTTCATTGATTCGTCTTAGTGTGATTTTGTGAAGCCCTTGATAGCTACTCCAACCATGGTGTTGTGACCAAAATTTGAATTCATAAGTATTGAACGGAAATAAATAAAAATACTATATCATCTCTAAATGAAATGCAAATTATGATTTTGTCACCGCCACAAGACTGCTGTGTTTAGAGTTTGATGGTTGTCAATAAATGACATGGTGTCTGTAACAAATGGCAGGTGGTGGTATTTTGCATGTTGATGCCTTGTTAAATAATACAGAAATAGTAAATCATAAAACTGTCAATTTTGAATGATAATAGGTGAAGAATCTGAATGAAGTCCTTGATGAGGCCCAACAACCATATAACTACTTAGTGGGCAGTATTAGATCCAGGGATTCCCAGTTACAACAGAAAACATCACATATATCTTCTTTGGAGGAAGATGTCAGGTAAACATTAACATCATATACAGTTGTCAGGTAAACGTGACATACAATTCCTTATAGGAAGATGTCAGGTAAACATTACAGCCATATAGATTTCTTAGAGTTAGTCATCACTATAGATGTCAGGTAAGAATATCATACAACTTCCTTATAGCAAGATGTCAGGTAAACATTAACATCATATACAGTTGTCAGGTAAACGTGACATACAATTCCTTATAGGAAGATGTCAGGTAAACATTACAGCCAGAGATTTCTTAGAGTTAGACATTACATATAGATGTCAGGTAGCATCTCCTATAGATGTCAAGAAAACATCACATATCATATATCAGTTAAATATCACATGTATGGTAGATTCTTTTAGGGATATTGGTAAAACAAAATATACCAAGATATAGTGAATTGTCCTACAGTAACTTTCAATGTAAATTGACACTATTTCTTGATATCATTGCCTGCATTTCCTTGAGTGGACTGAAGTAATCTAAGGCAGACCTGTTTTTATATAACCACCACAATTGGTGACATATTATTGTTAAGGTCTCCAACTTTTTTGTGGATGGTGTTTTTTTCAGCAGTTGATTGTCCGCAGTAGGTGGTCAGCATTCGGGATCTGTAACTAATGGTAGGTGGTGACATTTTGCATGCTAATGCCTTAATTCATGATATTCTTGTTTCATTAAAGGCGACTGGAGAAGGAGAGAATTGAGTTGACTAAGAGTAAAAATCAAATGGCTGCTGACCTAGAGAGGTTGCTCAATCAAAAAGAGGTAACCTACAATTATGTTTATGAAGTTCTTTGTTAAGATATGTATTATTGTTTAGGCCCTCAAGTCTAAATGTTAGGCCTTTTATACCCATATTAATTATTGTACCCACTTAATCATGAACAGATGTGTTCATAAAGTTCTTTGTTATGGTATATAATATGTAGGCCCCCAGTCTAAATGTAAGGCCTGTAATACCCATATAGTTCTTGTATCCACCTTATCATGAAAAGTTGTGTTCATAAAGTTCTTCGTATCACCATCATCAGTGTATACCATCGTCAGTGTTTCACCTTCATCAGTGTAGCACCATCATCAGTGTATTACCATCAGCTTAAAGCATTAAAATTGTATTTTTAGTAATTATATCTTCATACGTGTATACTTATTTTACATATTTTCTAGGAAATGGCATTAATGAAGCAAGTTGTCAGGGGTCTTCACCTCAGTCGCCATGGTAACAAGGAATCTAGCGAACCAATCAGATCTCATAATGGCCCTATTGACCCTGATCCTCATAGACCAGACCCAACAGTGTTTGTAAGTCCTTTATGTTTGATATTATTAGAAAAATCACAAAACTGCAAACCTAGATTTATACCTGCACATGCTGTTAGAAAGCAAGTCTCAAGTCATACTAAGAGGGGGATAAACCCCAGGGTTCAAAGATGACATATGCTTATAATGTAAATCTGTATTGAGATGACATCGTCGCTGATTGGTTTAGCAAGATGATCGTTGATTGGTTTAAAACTAGATCAATTTGAAAACTTTGAAAACCAAGATGGATGGTAAGTACTTCCGGGAAAGGAGGTGCACGAAGGAGGAAATCGTATGTCATCAATTGAATCATGGGGTTTTCCCTCCTCTTAGTCATACTTTTGTTTATTATCCCATCAGACGAAGTTCGGAGGGATATAGGGATGCCTCCATCCGTCTGTCTGTCCATGCGTCTGTCCGTCTGTCTGTCCGGGTAATAACTCAAATACCGGTGGCCTTATTTTGTTCATATTTTGTACACATATACCTTATGGGAGTAGAAGTTCTGCTTGAAAGCCGATTTTTAAAATGGCCACTCATTTAAAAATGGCAGCCATTTTAGTGCCGATTTTACAGTAATTTAGGTACAATATGTAAAACTGTAATAGCAATATGTTTTAAATGTAAAACAATTATATAGGACATTAATAAAGCTAGAAATGTAGATATTAAAGAAGCACATGGCAGCCATCTTGAAAAATGGTGGCCTTCACATGTTATTTTAACGTATGTTACTATAACTCAAAAAGTAGTGGAGAGATTTTGTTCATATTTGGTATGTGAATACTATAAGCATGGCACACTGTCTAATGACACTTTTGGTAGAAGGTGGCCTAATTTTTCAAAATGGCCACCATTTTAACGTATTTTACTATAACTCGAAAAGTAGTGGAGCGATTTTGTTCATATTTGGTATGTGAATACTATAAGCATGGCACACTGTCTAATGACACTTTTGGTAGAAGGTGGCCATTTTTCAAAATGGCTGCCATTTTTGCTATATTTTGTTTGTAAAAATGCCAGCCATGGCTGTTCGATGGGATTTGCTACGCTTTGGCGTTGCTGTTGTCTAATTTTTTACTTGATGACTGGATGGTTGCGCTTTGATACTTTGCAGGAAAAAATGTTTTAGAACTACCAGCATCAATTATATAATAAAGCATTGGTAATCTTGTGTATGTCCAAATATTGTGTTTAAGGATATTATTCAATGTGGGATTTCATATGGTACTAGTAGGCTATTTGCCAACAGTACACATACAGACCACATGGGAATATGCAGGATACATACAGTTGTTAGTTGGATATTATTTGAAAGAAAGCATTAATATGAATATTAACTCAATATAATTTACTCTAGTAGCAAGCAGGAAAATTCTCAATAAATGGTGTATAGTTGGTTTGGCAGCATTTTCAGTTAGGGGAGAGTCTTGGATGAAACTTCCACCTAGGTGATAGCTTCGCAGAGTGGTAGGAAGTTCTTTTTTGGAGGGGTTAGCCCCCCACCCCCAAAAAACACCCCACCCTGGAAAAAAAATTGTTCACACTAAATAACCTTAGATATTTTGATGTTTGTAAGTGACATACATAGATATTATATATATGAATCATTTGCAGTATAATTTATGCTGATCACTCAGGTATAGCCTTGGATGACCCTATTTTTGAATGTATGACTTTTTAGCTTAGAAATTCGATGTTGAAAATATTGTGGTCAGGTTTCTAACTACTGTAACTAGACATGTAAATTGAACAAGTTCAATTTAAGACTCCAGATTTCAGACTTTTTTTAAGCTGAGTCATCCAAATACTTGTAAGCTGAGTCATTCAGAATAAGCTGAGTCAGCTAGAATATAGACATTTAGACAACTCTTAAGAATGTTATCTTCGACTCCATTGGCTTAACATGGGGATATCATCATATCGACTTTTCAAGACTTCAAACCGCTATAACTATCTTATCAGAAGCTGGATCGAAATTTGGTTTAAAGATTCTGATTCCTGGGAAAATTCTACCCTTAATTCATAGCTCATATGTTAAATTTGGAGAACTTTTTATTTTGACCTACTTTTCGGACACCATATCTCAAAAGTGGGTCAAAATACTTTCTGACGGCAAAAGGCTAACACTATTAGCACACTCTTTGCTACCTGTATACAAAATTTTGAAGTAAATTATTAAGTGTAGTGTCAGAATCGTAAAAATAAGGAAAAACTATGAATTTGACCTAGATTTTGACCTAGGCATTTTGGTGTCCAAATTTTGAAGCTAGGTAGCTTTTGAGGTCCCCTTCTTTTATAAGCATTCATTATGTTAAGCTGTACTCAGTCTATATCTTGTATTTTACACTTCGAAAAAGTCTTTTTTCCCATTGACTTAACATGGGCACCAAATTTAGCGATTTTTGAGCTTTCAAAACGCCATAACTTCCGAACTGGAAGTCCGATCCAAATTTGGTTTGCAGATTCGGATTCCTGAGATCATTATCCCATCAAACGAATTTCGGTGGGATATAGGGAACGCCTCTGTCTGTCCGTCCGTACGTACGTGACGCCCGTCCGTCCGTCCATCTGTCCGTCCGTCTGTCCGGGCAATAACTCAAATACCGCTGGCCCAATTTTGTTCATATTTTGTATACATATACCCAATGGGGATAGAAGTTCTTCTCGAAAACGGATTTTCAAAATGGCCGCTCAAAAAAAATGGCCGCCATTTTAGTGCCGATTTTACAGTAATTTAGGTACTGCATATAAAACTGTAATAGCAATATGTTTTAAATGTAAAAAAGTTATATAAAACATTGATTAAGCTAGAAATGTAAATATAGAAGAAATACATGGCAGCCATCTTGAAAAATGGCTGCCTTTACACGTCATTTTACGATTTTTGCTGTAACTTGAAAAGTAGTTTAGCGATTTTGTTCATATTTGGTATTTGAATACTTTAAGCTTGGCACAATGTCTAATGACATGTTTGGTAGTAGGCGTCCATTTTTCAAAATGGCCGCCATTTTTACGTGTGTTATTTAACATTTTTTACTGTAATTCAAAAAGTAGTGGAGCGATTTTGTTCATATTTGGTATGTGAATACTTTAAGCATGGCACAATGTCTAATGACATTTTGGGTAGTAGGCGGCCATTTTGAAAAATGGCAGACATTATTAAGTATGTTATTTTACATTTTTATCGCACTTTGAAAAAGTGCTATATTGTTGTCGTCTTGTGCTGTTGGGCGGGCGTGCAGTTGTGCGGGCGTGCGGGCGGCACATAAACCAAATCTTGTCATCAAATTTCCAGGATAACTGCTTACCTGTTCAACTTGAAATTTTTACAGATGCAAGAGAAGACTAGTACCAAGATCTGATTAGGTTAAGGGCATGCTGGGTAAACTACGTGGCGGCCATTTTGAATTTTTCAACAAATCTTGTCATCAAAATTCCAGGAAAACCACTTATCCGTTCAACTTGAAATTTTTACAGATGCAAGAGTAGACTATTGTCAAGATCTGATTAGGTTTTGGGTATGCTGGCTGAATTACATGGTGGCCATTTTGAATTTTTCAATTTGGCGGCCATTTTGAATTTTTCAACTTGCTCCAAATTGACCAAATTTTTTTTTTAAAAACATCTACAAGTTCTCAGAAGTTCAAATCTGACCTTAGATTTCAGATTTGACCTTTCATCCACCTTCAGTGACCTTGAAAAGGTCAAAAAAGTTGATTTTCTAAATTGATATTTTGGATTTAAATTTAGGTCAGCTTAATTACAAAACACCTACTGAGGTCTGAAAAAGTGAAATTTTCAAGGTCGAAGGTCAAGGTCATTAAACTAGGTCACAAATGATGTTATCCAAGTTTCTCAAAGTTTGAGACTACAAATCAATTCTTGTCATCAAAATTCCAAGAAAACCGCTAACCTGTTCAACTTGAAATTTTTACACATGCAAGAGCAAACTAGTGCCAAGATCTGATTAGGTTAAGGGCATGCTGGGTAAACTACGTGGCAGCCATTTTGAATTTTTCAACAAATCTTGTCATCAAAATTCCAGGAAAACCACTTATCCGTTCAACTTGAAATTTTTACAGATGCAAGAGCAGACTATTGTCAAGATCTGATTAGGTTTTGGGTATGCTGGCTGAATTACATGGTGGCCATTTTGAATTTTTCAATTTGGCGGCCATTTTGAATTTTTTAACTTGCTCCAAATTGACCAAATTTTTTTTTTAAAAACATCTACAAGTTCTCAGAAGTTCAAATCTGACCTTAGATTTCAGATTTGACCTTTCATCCACCTTCAGTGACCTTGAAAAGGTCAAAAAAGTTGATTTTCTAAATTGATATTTTGGATTTAAATTTAGGTCAGCTTAATTACAAAACACCTACTAAGGTCTGAAAAAGTGAAATTTTCAAGGTCGAAGGTCAAGGTCATTAAACTAGGTCACAAATGATGTTATCCAAGTTTCTCAAAGTTTGAGACTACAAATCAATTCTTGTCATCAAAATTCCAAGAAAACCGCTAACCTGTTCAACTTGAAATTTTTACACATAAAAAAGCAGACTAGTGCCAAGATCTGATTAGGTTAAGGGCATGCTGGGTAAACTACGTGGCAGCCATTTTGAATTTTTCAAAAAATCTTGTCATCAAAATTCCAGGAAAACCACTTATCCGTTCAACTTGAAATTTTTACAGATGCAAGAGCAGACTATTGCCAAGATCTGATTAGGTTTTGGGTATGCTGGCTGAATAACATGGTGGCCATTTTGAATTTTTCAATTTGGTGGCCATTTTGAATTTTTCAACTTGCTCCAAATTGACCAAATTTTTTTTTAAAAAACATCTACAAGTTCTCAGAAGTTCAAATCTGACCTTAGATTTCAGATTGGACCTTTCGTTGACCTTCAGTGACCTTTAAAAGGTCAAAAATTTGATTTTCTAAATTGATATTTTGGATTTAAATTTAGGTCAGCTTAATTACAAAACACCTACTGAGGTCTGAAAA